GTTCACAAGGCACAAACTTAAATTAGTCGGAGGCTGGAAGTGCTCCAAATTCTTTCTTGCACAATTTGCACACAACTGTGCTTTTATCCAGGTTTCCACCCGGTAGTTTTTTAAAACTAAAATTTCCGCCCACCAAACCCAGCAACGACTTCTCATCGGTTTCCATTTCTCGTTTGTGTCCTGTGAATCAGTATTACGGGTTTGCCGGGAACTCGTGCAACGAGCAACGTTACGCGCTGTTTGGAGTGCAAAAATAAATTGCGATTAAATGCGTTATTTTTTTTGTCGCGTTTATTTTTATAAATTAATCGTAATTAACGCGATAAATTCCCATGTATTATTCATTATTCTATCCTATTCATATAATAAACATGAGTACATTGCTAGATTTTTATTTCTTGAAAAATAAGAAAAATGAGTTTAACCTTGTGTGACAACAATTGTACAAAAAACCAATATACGACAATACACTGGCTGAAGTAAAATTTAAATACATTCATCAAATACAATAACGCAATGAAAGCAATGAAATTATATGTTATCCTCTTTTTTAGACTTCTGTGCTCCCAACCAAATGTGTGACTATGTGCCCCCATCGTCCAGTCGAGATAGGAGATCTTCCGCCACAGACGTGGACATCGACATTGCTTTCGTCATGGACAGCTCTGAGTCTACCTACCCAACATTCTTTACAGAGATTAAACGCTACATAGCTCAGATAGTGGAGCATCTACATGTGTCTTCAAATCCCACATCATCCGTTCACCAGGCAAGAGTGTCTGTGATCCAGCAAGCACCTTACAAGTTCCTCAACAACAAAACTGGCTCTCCCATCCATGTGGATATTGGTTTGACTGAGCACAACTCAGTTCAGGATATTGTCAAATTTCTGCTGGAGAAGACACCACAGTTGGAGGGCGGCCGGGCCCTGGCGGCGGCTATTGAATCAACAGTGGAGCATGTGTTTGAGAAGGCGCCTCTACAACGTGACAAGAAAGTGCTGATGCTCTTTGTGACGGGAAGTGTGGAAGAAGACGAGAAGCAGCTGATGCGTATTGCCACTGAGGTCAAGTGCAAAGGCTACTTCCTGGTCATCCTGGGCGTGGGTGAGAAGTTAAGTGCTGGAGATGCTCGTGTCTTGTCACGCATGGCAAGCGAGCCGTCAGATGTCTTCTTCAAGCGGCTGGACAGCATCTCGCACTTTTACGACAAACACATCCAGAACTTCGGCCAGCTGATGCCAAAGTATATCAGCAGTAAGTTCAAGATAGATATCAATCTGTCAATCAATTTTATTGCTTTTTACACACTTTTTTATTTACTTAATGCCATTTATTTAACCAGTTAATCGAAATGCTGACATGCTGTGTTCTTTTCAGTTGAAAATGCTTTCTACATGTCCCCTGAAGTCTCTAAAAACTGCAAGTGGTTCCAGAGTGACCAGCCCCTAAAAAACCCCTTCACATCACCACAGCAACAGGAGTAAGCATTGGGATATTTTGGGGTACTGTCAATATCTTGGAAACATTGATAGTTTAATTCATTCTTTATTGTTCCATTTATAGGAAACATCAGAAACATCATGAAAATCACCAAGCAGTTCAACAAAGAAAGCACAAAGGTAAGATTTTGGATGTACTAAAAAGAGCTTTCAGTGATCAAAGTTTAATAAGTACTTTTTGATTTGGACTGGTGATTATGTTTTCTTCACTGTGAGTCATGTATGGCTAACCGTCTGCACATAAATCCACAATCAGCACCATTGTTCACACTTCTCTCAGACTCGTTGAAACACACTTCACAATAGAAAAAAATTACCTTGAATATTATAACTGGACATGAAAAGTAACATTTTCACACTGACGTTAATCCACAACAGCTACTGGCCTTCTGTTATTTTCTGCTAACTGTGTACGTGTGATTGCATTCTCCTGCATTCACCCCACTTTATCTTCCCCCCTCAGATGCAGATGACGAGCTACATGTCTACAACGTCACCTCCAGCAGCTTGAAACTGCGTTGGAGCACCCCAAACCCCAAGCTCTTCGTCTATTTTGAGGTAGTGGTGACACGGTTGCACGACCACGCCCTGGTGCTGAAGACCAACGTGTCGGGAACAGAGCTTTCCGTGGACAATTTAGAGAGTTCTCAAACATATCATGCTGTTGTCACTGCCCACACTGCAGAGGGTCAAATTGTCTCCACCCGCAAAGGAATCATGACCACCAGTAAGTCCATAAACACATCCACATGGATATGTTGCAAGCTTCCTTTATATCCCACAAGAATAAACTATATTTTTCCTGCCCCTAAAGATAGCAACATACTAAATATGTTGGTTGACAGTAACTTGATCAGTACCACCAAGTAATACTATTTCTGGGTTTTGGGACTTTGCACCTCTTTGTGGGGGCTGGTATTTGTACAATCAAGTAAACTAAAGTTAAACTAAAACTAAAACTAGACATTAAACACTCAGGCAGTTGTCTTGCATGAATCACAGACTTTGTATTATTGTAGCTGCTCCATGACCACTGGTTTCACTTTGACAGAAGCAGCAGAGCTTAAGCCACAGCATATGCCAGCCAGCCAAGTCACCAGTACTATAAACACCGCGCCACTGGACAAACCAGAAACTGGTGAGTGACTGCAGACCATGTTTTTTTATCTACCTCGACCTGTATTTTGTAATTTTTAACCTGCATAACTTGTTATTTAACAGAAAAGATGCTTCTTTAGACATATATATTGAGGAAACTTTGTAGAATCATGTGATTTGTACATGTCTGTATCGCTTTATGAATTTGATGCAGTTCACGGTACCCTGTGCTTTGTGGAAGAGTGTAAATATGACTTTGAGCTCAGCCGGGAAATAGGACAAAAACATATTTGTTTTTGTTTTTTTTATTCTGCTGATCTCATCAACCTCATATCAGAACAACAATACACGGCAATGAAACCAAAAAGGGTTCAACAGTGTGCTGTCTATAGTGGCCTGGTGCATTAAAGCTAACGGTCCCTGTGGAGTTATGTTTGGCTGTGTTTCCTAGGCATAAATGTTAGTCATATAAATAAAACCTGATGGTTCAACTCAACATAACATGCTATGCTGTAATGCAGCAATATTTAAACTACTACACAAGTGTGCTATTAATCAACTCAATTGTTTATTGCCAAAATATACTGTAGGTCATTCAGGAGAACTTGCGAAATCTACTGCTCAAACTCGAGGAGTTTATAGATTTAATCTTTTCCATAATGTGTTGTGACAAACAAAATAGTTGAGGTTGCAATATCTGTGCCACTTTGGAGAGAAAATGTCTCATCTTAGTGGGATTGGAAAAGATTTGCAATGCACAGTTTTAGGAGTGAAGCCTTACAGCTGCTGCTTCTTAAGGAAGACACTAAGGCATAACTGAGACATGAGAACATCTATACTGGCTGTAAATTCAGGAGAGTCTTTGATGCTGCCAGATCCATATCATTCAGTTATGTAGCAATGCTGTCTTCTTTAAAAAAAAGTCAATGAGTTCTGTAACTCTGATACCCCAGTGTGAGTAACATGTTTTTTTTATTAGCACCGTTTTTTTTATCATAACTACCTGTTTCTGGGATTGGTTACATGCAGATAACATGGACCACACAGCTTTGCAAATTTTAGATGACTAAATGAACTAACAGAAACTGTAGTTATAACAAACTAACTTTTCAATTCACCAACAGATTTATAAACCTGTTTCTTTCTACTGACTTTAGTTTTCAAATGTCCAAACCCTTAATAATGCAAGAACCCTATGTAGCATGCACTATAAGAATGAACCATATCAGCACTAAGACTCATTTCACCCTATAAGCCCCTTTTGAACACCCCCAAGCTTCTAATATGAATTTATCCACTAGCAGCAACCTTTTAACAGCATAACATAACTGCTGTCTGCCTCATATAGTTGTACATTGATTCCTAACGCAAACTCATCCTCTCTCTCTGTTCTCCATCACTGCTGTTTTTTTTGTTTTGTTTTTTTGCATGTTCTAGTTAATGAATTTGCAGACCCATGCTCACTTGACTATGACCCTGGAAGCCCGTGCAAAGACTATCAGGCTAAGTGGTTCTTTGACAGAAAGAACGGGATCTGTACACAGTTCTGGTATGGAGGTTGTGGAGGCAATGAAAATAGGTTCGAGACAGAGGCCCTCTGCTTGAAAAACTGCATGAGGTCAGGTAAGTGTCGCGGGTGCCAGGACCTGTGAGGGAATGGGTGGCCCTCTGGTGTGATGGTATAATATAATTCAACATATAATGAGCTTCAACTCTGGTTACAAAACCTACAGATGACTGTCCGCTAAAGCCCCGCTCCACAGCAATCATAGTCCAAAAACTGTAACTATGCACGGCAGGTCTGTCAAGTTTTGGATTTCTCCACATGTTAAAATGGTGTGCATAAGGATGAGTGATAGTTTGGGTGGGGTCTTTTTTTTAATCACCACTCCAGAAGCAAAAACAAAAGAGGAAAACTGTAAGGAATGAATGAAACAATGCATGCTTGGCTAACTAGCTAGCTACAGTGGTAATCTAGCATAATCATAAGCAAATGGCATGCCATCTAATTATAGAGGATTGCAGGTTTCTTTAGAATAACACCTGCGCAGGGCTAGAACATCTGCTTTGTGGGAGCCAAGTTATTAATAAATCGTACAGTGTTTAAGTTTACAGTAGAGCAACTCAAACTAATCAGTTTTTGCTCATTATCTTGTAAAAGTGAAGCATACTCTTTATGAGCAGGTCATTTCCCTCTAAGAGCTTGGTGGGTAGAGTCGGGTAATCAGCAAGATTAAGTTCACCTAGTCTGGTGGCAAGACTATATAAACTGGAGGCAATCAGCCAGTCTCTTGCTCTCCCTTGGTTTGCACCCTGTTCTAGAATTTAGTTTTTAGCTTCATTTCTCTTTTAGTTATGTTAAATAAACTTATATTTAGTTACAACTCATGTGTGTTCTCCCCTTCTTTGTCCAGCCTTGAGCCAGGTTGTAAAATTAAGGAAATACAAATCCTATGGCATAAATCGAACTACAGAAGCTGAGAACAGCTGTGCTTGAAAAATAAATTCTCGAGATAACGATAATCTACCCATTATTATGAGAAAACCAAAATTTGTTTCCATCTCTTATAATGTTCATCAGAGATCAGGAGTGACATACAAGCATGCACAGATGGTAGATGTAGCATTGTAACATAATGGACAATGCATGGAGGAATGCCAGTTACTATCCATTTTCATATTGACCCAAATGAGCCAGCAGCCAGGGAAAAAAGTGCCTGAAAAAATCTGGACATGGCAGGAATCTTTGAGTTAATTTATTGAATCTCAATCCTCTCCGGATATATTTTGTCAGTACTGCATCACATTGCCAAGAAAATAATATCTTAAATCAACTTTCATATCTCTCATTCTGGAAACAATTCTTTTCATTCCAGTTATGAATCAGCCCCAACAGTCATGACAGTGAGATAACAAGATAAATTAATCAGTGATCTCAAGATAAGTGCAAGCACCGTCTGTGTAGTGTCTAGCGTGTCCAGGTTCCATAGTAAGCTTTTAATCCATCCAAGGGTTATGTCAGAACAAATGCCAAGAATTCAGTCACATGTTTATCACTGCACTATAGGACTAACTAAGGCTGAAGAATTGTTTATTGAAAATCTGCCACCGTTATCATTGTAAGCTGCATGCTGTGCGAGAATGGAAAGCTTGACAGACGTAGGAACAGTAATTAGGGAGGTGGGGCTTAGCAAACAGTCAATTAAATACACACAACTTCTAGAAGCTAAAGGAATTTTAATCTTACTCCCGATATAACCTCTGAACTGCCACTGATCACATGAGGTAAAATGTGCATTGCATCTTCATACAGAGGAGTGATGAGTGTGTTGGGGAGTTAAAGTAGGAAAATAAAAGCGATCTGCCAATTTGCGACTGATAATGAGGATTGCATCTGAGTAACTGTCTGTGGTCATTATTTCCACAGTGCCAGAGCCTCAGCCAGAAGTGCAGAAGATTGAACAGGTGGAGATCCTCCCGGCTCCTGGTGAGATCTGATATGCAGTCACTAAATAGCATGAATAGTTTTCTATAGACCTACAGTATTATGTTACTGTTCCTTCCTTTCCAGCTCCCTGTTTTGACGACATAACTGACTTTGATGTGCGTGCATGTGTATGCAATGCAAATGCCAACCAGTAGGAAAGAAAAAGCACTTCCTTCCTTGTCTAGTTTTAAACAAGCACATCCACATCCTCAGCGTTTTCAGACCACCCCTAATGTTGGGCATATATCTGTACATCAAGTCACCAGCATTGCTGGTCATGTTACTGTTATATAATTACCATTTCCATAAACATGCTCCCTTTGCAAAACAGCAAGTCCTTTGTGTTCAACTGTAAACCCACCCACCCTCTCCACTGGCCCTCAGATGATCTAAATGACTGACGGAACAAGTAAAGGGCCAAGCATGGAAAACAAGAAGGTTATGCTTTTGTCACGGGAGCGAGCCAAGTCATAACCACAGAGAAAATGAATGGAAAGCCTTGTTCACTGGTTCATTGTTTTTTTGGCAGCAGGCCTCATACAGAGCAAGTTCAATTTGTCAGTACCTTGTCTCTGTGGAGTAAATTAGCACAAGATACTTACAGTAATACAAAGTCTACTAAACAAAATGCGCTATATCTCGTGATTGTGGAAGAATAAAACTCTGCCGTGATTGAAGTGCTTTTGTTTTCTCCTTGAAGCATTTATAACCATTATTCCACTTATTACTACTCATTATGTACAATAGTAATGCTTTATTTACTGCTGACTCATTGTTGTTCACATTTAAAGTCTAATTTAGTGCATTTACAATTAGTTAAAGCAGGCCTTGCCATAGATATGTTCTATTTTAGTTGCAGGCTTTACACTTTCCTGATTGTCACTCTTTATCACCTCAACCACAGCGGCCTCTACAGCTGTGGACATCTGCCAGCTTCCCAAGGAGGAAGGTACCTGTGCCAAATTTGTCCTCAAGTGGCACTACGATGCCCCGAGTAAGAGCTGCACACGCTTCTGGTATGGAGGCTGCGGTGGAAACCAGAATCGCTTTGACACGCACGAGCAGTGTGTGAAGGCTTGTGGAAAACCAGGTACTTGTCTTGTTCAGTTATAATCCGTGATTAGTTATTGTCAATGATCAGGAAACTGACAGAAAACAGCACCGTGGATTATGCTGCAGGGTGGCTTTTCTTGAGTAGAGGATACAACAACACATCAAGTCCCAATAAATACGACATACAAGGAAGTAGGAAGTAATCTTTGATTCACAAACATCATAAAAGCGGTAACAAAATATAAAAAAAACACTTTATTGTGCTGTTAATTTCTATTTTGCCAGTCTGATACAGCGAGCCAAATTAACTAAGGCGTTGCAGTTTGAGTTGGCATACAAAGTTGCCAGCACAGCTTAACCCATTTACCATCTCTGTGGGAGCAATTACAGCATTCACGGCATACACAGGATGAGTCATGCTGATGAACTACTTCAGTGTCTTCTCTCAGCCTAATTGCTGGGAGTGCATTGCATTCATCAAAGACAAGAAATGTAACATTGTCACATTGTACTTAAGTACAGTTATGAGGTACTTTAGGTTTCTATTTTCTGCAGCTTTATATGTCTGTATACGAATAAGCCATAATACCAAGTTACCAAATGGCAGAGAGAGAAAGAGCACCAGAGAAAACGTGGGCGACCATCAAAACAAAACTGAAAATGAAACTTAACATAATTTAGTTTGTGTTTCATTCTGCTTACTTACTAAATTAGAGTATAAATAGATCTCTCAGCAACACTCAAGTAGCGTCCCTTATCTCTGATGACTGGTTTCCTCCTGTTCTGACCCACTCTAGTTAGAAATTAGTATATTGTTGTTGGGACATTGAGAGGAAATTATGAGGAAAAATGCAGCAAAGACTGTGCCAAATTCAAGTTTATTTCCACAAAATGAGTCTAAAATAGGCCTTAAAGTTATGAAATTCAATTTTGCTTGCCAAATTATATCGTTGTCTCTCAGTAGCAAATATTCCGAAGCTCGTCCATCCACAGCTCAAGGGTCCAGAACCTCTAACTTAATAAACTGCTATTGCTTCACAATAAAAGACAATAAATAATACAGATTATGTTATAAAGATCTTGTAACTTTGAGATACATCATATCCATGAGACACAGAAGTCATAATTATGAGGTATTGTCTCACATTATCTTTTCTTCTGTAAATACATTTCACTTCCATAAGTTTCTGCAGATCGTTTGGTAAAAATGTGCCACTTCAATTATCAGTTATAAGTATTATATAATTATATTACACTATTTACCAAGAACCCATTAATGACTCACAACTATATATAGTATGTTAAGGAAAAGCCCCACATATTTTTTATTTTTTTTGTTAGAGTTGGAAAGACAATATCTGCTGTGGAAACTGTCGACATGTGACTACACATGACAAAATCAAAATGTTTGATTCCACATGTTAAGCCTCCTTTAATTGGTAGACAAAGTTGATTTTCTTTTAAAGATGCAAAAAAAGACAGTTTAACAAATCTATTGACATCTAGTGGTGTAGATGCAGATCGCAACTCCCTCGCTTCCTCTTGTGACTAACTTAAAATAAAATGTGTTAAGAAAAACTTGTACTATATCCACATACAAGTTTGGAAAATGTCAATGGATTTGTGCTTAGCTTAGCTAGTACTTTAAGTACTGTAAATTAACTTATACAATACAGTTCCACTTTCGTGTTTTCTGGGAGATCCTATTATGTAAAAAAAAAAAAAAAAAAGTTTCTTTACATATCGCTCAACACCTTTTTCTTTTCCATTCACCACCAGCACCTGTCAAACAAGGAGTCATCGCTGCAATAAGAACATAGGACAAAAGTGACACACGTGGCCAGCTTTCACCTCTGTTCAGGGGATTCTGAGGAGAACCATCCAACATGGCCATACTGTCAGGATGCAATACCAAAGCAATGGTGGCTGCACTGGATTCCACAAAAAAATGGACTTTATCCCCAAAATTCTTGAAGTAGTCTTTTTCACAACAAAAAGGAAGGCAACACGATTTGCTGCATGATTTGTTTTAACCTACTGGTGCTACATAGTATGTTCGTTTTACAGATGAGTTGTTAAGTGCATTCGGTTCAAGTTTTCCGGAACAATGACATCTTATGAGTTTTCATATTTTTTAAAATTCAGTTTTATAATGAAGCAAGAAACATATATGAATATCTTGGACAGAGATTAGCAAAAAATCAGTACATGCAGGACTGTCATTATTTAATGCAGTCTTTTTTTATATATATTTTTTACATTCCACATTCATTCACACTTTACAACATTGGCTTTTATAGATTTATATTGTTTTCACTTGATCCCTGTGGAATCATTACTTCACTATTTTACAGTCACACAATCCACAGCAATGTTTACACAAAGTCTTGTATGGCGGTGTGTGTATTTAAATGACAGTGACCAACTGCTCAGATGCTACAACATTAATGTAATGTTAAGTGCACTTCTGGATCCACTGCCTCAAACACACACGTTCCAGCTTTTGAGAAAAGGAATGTATCTGTCAAGCTGTTTTTATTTTTGTTTTGCATTTGGTTTTACTGAAAATTGTGTTTCATCGGGGTATATGGGAAATAAAAATGAATTAGACTTTCTAATAAACATGAGCAACTGATTCTTTTCTTTCTTGTTTTGAATTAAGACCTTTGCAATGTGGATGTCAAATGATATTTGACATCCTTTCAGAGGTGGAGCTCAAAGATGAGCTGAAGATTGTATGAAATCAGACGCTAAAAAAAGGTCATCTTTCATTTATTGAGTAATATGTTACTGCCTTATACTCTTGTTCATTTAAAACCGACATATTAACATATTAATATTATTTGCTGCTTTAAAATATAAGAGTACTATCTTTCTGACTGTTAAATTATCTAATAAAATCAACCTAAAGTTTAATGTTGATCTCATCTTACCAAACTCATTAATATTAATGTTTCACTGTAAGTTAAGAGTGCAAAGCCTTATAAAGTACAGAGTAATTCCCCATAATACCTTTAATGTCATGGATATTTTTAGGGTTAAATTTGTGATTCTTCTTAAGGAAATTATTTACAGTTTTGGGGGGTAAAGTAAATGGGATTTGACTCCAAAAGTCTTGTTAAAACAAATCTTAGAAACATTTGAAACCTCTTTCACATTCTCTTTGGTATGTAGTAATAACTTATTCATTGTCTAGATATAATACACAGTTGTGAATCTGATTCATAACAAACTGAGATCTATAGGACGCGTATGCTAAACATTTATATAAAAAGTCTTGTATGCATGCTTGTGTTTAGACCACATTTAACATTTGACAACTTTCTAAAAACATTCCCTAAAAAGCTATTGAAAACTGAAAGGTTACAAGAAAGACCTTCACTCTGGGGGCATTCGGTCAGAAGATATGAGCATATTCTGAGTTGTGGTCCTCGTGGGTCATGCATTTGAAACTCCTAGTGGATTTTTGTTCCAAATAATTTCCTCATTTATGAGATCAGCTAGAGTCACATTTCCCAGTAAGCAGACGCTCATTTTTATTATCATTCCGGTAATTTTCTATGTAATACACAAATCACTGTATCCCTGTCGTCTGTATGAAGACATCAATTTAGAAACGAGGGAAATATTAACTCTCCAGTTCTGGTTATTTGAATGAACATTCAGTAAATATGAAGTCATCTCAAAATCAATTCATATACAAAAGCATTTTTCAGGCGTGTTGACTAATATGAAAATCACAGATCAACAATAGCTCTGTTCTGTTCAAAAGTTATGACAGTGTGAAAATGAGCCAGCAACAACACCAGGACCCTGAAACTGAAGCAGCTGAATGGGATTCAGCCATTATTCATTTTATTATTTTCACCTGTGCTTTTACTGTGACAAGTGAGAAGGTCCTCTGTCCAAAATAACTATTATCATGATCCAGAATGTGTTTGTATCCCTTTTGTCTCTATTATGAGCTCTTTGTTGCTCCAGGTGTGTGTTTCTATTGCTGCCACCTGTGGTTTAATAAAGAAGATCTCAGCCAGAAAAAGTTTATACAGACAGATATTATGTGTTCACCTCCAGAGGTTGGAGCCTCTGACTTTGTGGCTCACTAACGTGGGTCCCTCAGAGGATCTGAAGGCCGGGCTGCACCTGCACCTCCTTCCTGACTAAAACCGTCTAGCTGCAGGGTCCAAAACTAATGGTGTGTTTGGGTGATATTTAACTTGTAAAGTCAAAATTTATTACAAGTAAAACTGTTGTGACAGCTGAGAAAGTGCAGAAAGTTTCCTGATATCTGTGTTTACAGAAGCAAAGTGTAACAATACATTTGTACAGTATAAGGCCTCTATTAAACAATATATCCAAGTTCAACCTGAGGAGGAGTTTCACTCTACAATTAACACAATAACAGGACATTTCTTTAATAACTGAACTATTTTCTAAGCAGTGTGGATAATTCTTTATAGTATTTACACCACCATACATAGATAACACTTTTAGAAAACATGACTTTCATTAATAAATATAAATATAAGTGTTATAAGAGTGTTTTTTTTGGTGGGGGGTTTTGGATCTGGTCAAACATTTTTTCGGGAGGGGAGGTTGCACCGGGGGAATTTGGACCTCTGTGGCTGTGAGGATGCCTGATGACAATGATAGAGCCAAGTGTGTATAATAAATTCAGTGCTGACAGTCTGCGGGAATTCAACCTGCTCTTTCACATGGCCTCTGTATTTTTAAAATCCTCACTACGGCCCTGAAAAAAAAAACACATGATAAAATCAGATATAGAGAGATGTCACAGTATCTGTTAAAGATTGTGTTATTTTGACAAGCTGACAAATCCTGCTTTTAACCCAGTTGAACCAAAAAAACATATTTCGTATGATAAAGAAAAATTCCACTACATTTGTTCTGGTTGGTCTAAAGTTTTGAAATTTGGTACCGACATACTTGGGGCAAAGATCTAATAGTACAACTTAGAAATTTGTAGATGACATGAAAAGGTCAAAGTAAAGAATTTTAAAAATGAGGAAACATAGTTATATTAACGTAAGTGTTTACTAAATTCTTTCCATATGAAATATACTTTTTAAACTCTATATCTGTGCATCTCTTTGACATGCATCTTGTTATGACTTTAAAGATACCAGATACTTCTACTTCCTCCTTGTAGTTTTTAATCATACTATATTTAGTCTTTGGGCACACGGGACAGTTTTTTCCTAAAATGGTAGAAAATGTCCTAGAATGAGCAATAAAAATGGAGGGATTTTTATTATTTTCAGTACACAAATGCGACAGGCTCCTATCTATATATTAGATATAAATAAAGGTTATTATTAGTCCTACAGCAGGTGAAAACATTCCCTTGAGGGGCCATTCTCCATTAGTTTCAGTGGGTTTTGCTTTCCTCTTGGTTCACAGCAGTGACAGCAAATTTGTTTCGTTTTTTCATTTGTAAAAGTGTGTATGTGTACGCAGTAGTTAATGTCCATCATTAGTCCTCAAACACACAATACATTGTATTTAGGCACAACAATGACTGTCACACTCCAAGATTTGGACTGTTAAACAAGGATGTACTGTACACAGCCCTTGAGAGATCATACCCAAATAATTTATAAGCAAACAAAGTAGAGAAATGAGAAGTTCAAGCTTTGTCATTGTCTGGAATAAAGAAGATTAAATATTTGGTCAGTGAATTGAAAAGGCCTTTGGATGTGCTCTCTCTCTCCAACACCAGCAAAACCTCCAGATGTCATTTCTCCCGGGTGTTTGAAATAGTTCCTTGTTTTGATAAACTCCTGATTTCCTCCCATGCTCACCACTTCACTTCAGCATTTCATCACCGCTTCTTTTCACATCATGGCCCACCACTTTTCCCCAACATCAAACACAGTCTGACATTTGTAATGAAGCAAACAAATCATATTGTGATCAAAACAAGGACATTATATATACTTTTACATTTTACGAACTAAACATACAATTTACACAATTTGGCGCAAAGTATGTGGACACCCCTGTCCACAAGGTGTCGCTTCAATTGTGGGACATGCAATTGCAAAATCTTCCTTAAACTTTGTGGCAACAGTTTGTGTTTGTCCCTTTCTTGTTTTAATATGGCAATGCCCCCACGCACAAAGCCAAGTCCATTAAAGAAATGATTTTCCCAATTTGGGATGAACAGAAACATTGACTGCAAGCCAGGCCTTATCGCACAACCTCACTGTTGGGCCTCACTAATGCTCTTGTGGCTGGATGGGAGCAAATCCCTGCAGTCAGCTTCCAACATCTGGTGGAAAGACTGAAACCAGAAGAGTGGAGGCTGTTGTAGTGGCACATTAATATCCACGGTTTTGGAGTAAGATGTTAGGGTGTCTGCATACTTATGGCCATCATGTAATGTAAATATGAACAACTGTGAGAGGCGAATGGACTAGCATACAGAGATTTCCTATCACAATGCATGATTGGTGAAAAATCTGATTTGGTCACATTTTGCTGCTCAAGCCTTTATTGTGGGACTCAGTGCTTTGAATGTCCCCCATCATGTAGAGTTAAATCTCGTTAGCACATTAAAACATCACACTAGAGGACAATTATTCAAATCCAAAACCCTAACCGAAAACAACTGCTCACAATTAGTGGTGAGACTTGATATATTTACACCAGCGCTGTGTCTTTCTATCTGTGGGTGGGAATTTGTGCTTTTGGACAGATGTGATAAAGATCCAAACAGCTGTATGGGGTATGTAATCACTCCACTTCACATGTATGCACATGCAAAACTAATTGCATAGACTGTACATACATTGACAGTGCACTGTGTATCCAGTTGGAGGTGATCAGTAACACACTTGTCTCAGCAGCCATTCCTATATGTGTGCATCAATCACACCACAATACCAGCTTCATTGAGATATGACAGCACAATGTGCTTTGCAAATTGATTAAGTATGGAAAAGCTGATACAGTGAGTCGCCAACTGATGCAGTCATCACTGTACTGCTAAAGCCAACACCATGTTAGTGTTAACAGAGGGTATCTCAGCATTTCCATATTAGCTTTCCTGAACATACTCTACTAGATAGGTCAGATTTAATGGCTTGTAATTGGCGTAAAGCTGTTTCCACCTTTTTCTCAGTCTTTATGCTAACCTAGGCTAACCGTCAGCTATTTCCCAAAATATTTAAGTATGGCGTGAAGAAATGCATTTTAGTGAGGCCCCTGCATTGATGCAACAGGGGTGCTTAATTCACTGCAATTCAGTTAGATGTCATCCAACAACATGTTGCTTTCTGACAGTGACGAAGTATATTTAGTCAAATACAGTAATTTTAAAGTACTTTTATAATACTTAATGTTATATTATAATATACCTTTACTCCACTAAATTTCAGAGGGAGACTTTTTACCCGTATATTTGATTTACGGAGTGACAACTTAAGATTTTACATAAAAAATAAAAAAAAAACATACTGTAAGCTTATGTAATTTAATACAAAACCCTTTTGTCATGTTTCAGATGTTGTCAAGAGTTGCATCAAACCTCTCAAACTGTTTCATTTTAACTGTTCGTGGCTCATACAAAATAAAAAAAAATTCTCCAATTACGATATATTAATCATCCTATTG